TAGTATATAGTATATAGTATATAAATAAGATTCTAAATATGAAATAGTATTTATATTGGGCCTTTTTTAAAAACGCAACTGAATAATGCGAAAATTGCAAAAAAAATGAATTCAGAATATAATAAAAACATAAATAACCTCTCGTCCATGGAAACCTCAGATAAATACACCACAGTAAATAAAATGGCAAAAAAAATATGTTCCTTGGGCGGCCCGGTACCATTTGATCCGCGGACCGGGGGTCGGGGACCACTGATGTACATGATATAATAATTCTTCTATAAGCATTTTGGAAATTTCTTAGAAACATATTCAATTGGACATCAATTTTCTTACGTAGTATATTGCTATATAAGTTGTGCACGCATATTTAGTATTTGTGTTAATTACTATTAATTCTTGAAAATATGCATTTTAATGAAGTCAACTAAAATGAACTAAACTAAAACGATTTTTGGAATGTTAATTGCAAAGTTTCTATATTTAACTTTGGTCTTCGAGTTATGTATATTTTGGTTTTCAAGCCTCAAATACTCGAATTTAACGGATGTACCAATTAACTAGAATGCACTGTATGTATGATACAAGTACATGTATATGAAAATTGTTCGAACAGACAGATAAACAAAAATTAATAAAGCATTGTACATTGTTTTAAGTGAATATATTTCTTCGTTTTCTTAATTAATTTATTAACATTTAATCGCGAATTCATGAAAATAGACTTTTATAATAATTTTACAAATAAGTAATGTAGGTAAGAAATGGAAAAATGAGATACAATTAAACTATGAATCATAATTACATATACTAACCAATATTATGTTAGCTGCTTTCCATTATTCTTCAAAACATTTAGATTCAATCCAGAAATGACGAACTGAATACCTTGCATTCAAGTACTTTGTGATTCATACAATATATTCCGTGTATTCATTAAGCAAATTGTCCTTAATTACATTTACATTGTTTTTCTCTTCCGTTGAGATTTAATTGATCAATTCAGTAATTTAAATTGTAAATTCATATTTGCTCATTAAATCTCGAATAGCGACGTAACTCGCTATATGAACATGTATTTTCTTATGTGTTTCTAAGCCTTGTTTTATGGTAAACAATTAGTAATTCTCAATAAATTAGTTAATAATTTATTTAATTTATGATAAATTAGAATAAAAAATACCATTTATTATTAAATTAATTAAATGTGTTTTATGTATTTCTTAACTTTGTGGTATTAAAATTAATATATAAAATATATTTATTTAATGAAATAAAAAGTTATAACTTATATTTTTTTCTAGTTTCGTTTATTGTTAGTTTTGTTGTCTTTATTTTATAAAATAAAAAAATAACTGATTTAAGTTATTTTATTAATGAAATACAAAAAAACATTTTTTTAATATAAATGGTTTAAATACTGAAATTCGAAACTGGTTTTTGTATATTAGACATTCTCAAGGAATAATAATTGATGCAATTTATGAAAAATAGAATTAGAAATATTGTTTATTATTAAATTAGTTATACAAAAGAGTATTATAAAAAAATGCATTTCCTTACTAGTCCTAGTGAGTCCTTTCTTCTTCTTTTCTCTTATAAATTATATAATCTTAATCTATATTATCCACAATTTATCTGTTATCTCAACCGGTTGGCTTCGATAGCAACATTGATTATATCGTTTCCGAGAAAAAAGTCAGTTGCGACGATGTTGGATTCCTTTGCCCACTCGTCTCTGAACCACGAAGTGATGTGCTTGTTGACATCGTCCGCTAACTTTCTCAAGTTGTTCGTACGGAAAATAATGTCCAAGGGTGTAGGTGTTAGTTCTGCCATTATTGCCCACATTGGATTGTAAATGGTTTGATGCGATTTTATCGCGCCAGCAATGAACGACCTCAATTCGTCGGTCTTCCGTTTATCACCCCAATATTGCTGCAACGGATTCCACAGCCAACTGTAAGCTGGAATTAAACTATCTATTGTACATCTTTCTTTTTCGGATCGTATTTCAAGAATTTACCTTTGGCGATTTCTCTGTGGCCGTAGCAGATAATCAACGTTTTGTTTTGGTGCCAGATCTCGTTCATGGTGGGCCCTTTTCCTGCCTGCAAACCACCTGGAGGTAATGCCAAATCGCCTAATTCCTCTTGTATCAAATTAACTAATTTTAAGTGTATGTTGAGATTTGGTTCGCTCGGATAAGGAAATCTATGAAAGTCCAGTATTACAACCTCTCTTGGGGCTAATTCGATGAACTTCCTAATTTGTCTCAAAATCGGTTTCAACGGCGATATAGGAACTACGTCATGATTTATAAAGAAACTGTAATGCTTTCATATGTTAAACATACTTTATTGTAATGAACTCATATCTACCCCTCCTTAATATAATAGCCAATTCTGAGATCAATGTAACGAATTCCGAACACTAATTGAGTCCACACGCTACGATCTTGATTCATTATATAGTTCTCGAAGAGAATTTTATTCGAAGCTAAATAAGATCCTGAATTATGTGTTCCTGGTATAAACAAATTTCCGATTCGTTGATCTCTAATTTGATCGCTTAAACAATAAATCAATAAATTAATTTAAAAAATTACTTATCTAAATTTCTTATTGGATTTTTTAAATAACAGTAAGAGCAAAAATATTTGGATAAAAAGTATAACCCATTTTGTAAAATAGAAAAATACCTTTATTCTATACCTAATATCGTGCATCCAAGTAGGCCTGATACTGAGACAGTTACAGTCAATAATGTCATATCCTTTCAAAGAAGCTATCCAAAATGGGAAGCAATGAGCTCCTCTATCAGCCCTAGTGACATTTTCACTGTATTCCCATTTACCTGGAAGCCACGGTTGTCCGAATTTGATTTTCGTCCTGTAGAATCCATTAAAGTCGTTCGCGTTGAGGACGATTTTCGGGGGCGTCGGTTCCTGAAATAAACAACTCGTTTTTTTGTTAATTGCAACAAGATCGGGCATTTCAATTACATGTCTGTCTTTGGGATTATAATCATAGAGAGCGATGTAGTCTGGCTTAATGTCACGCGCTTTATCACATTTGGTAATCCAGTTCATTTCAATGTAAGTATCCTTTAAGGATGAGATTGTTAAGTGCACTTTACCGCATTTCCTTATACCTAAAACAAACACCGCTATCCTCACGGTCGTGTGTTCACTCACTTTCACTTACCTATTGTTGGATTTGGCAATCCATGTGTACAGTATATACAAATTAGAAGAAATCCTATCGTAATTACATCCATTGTGTTTGCTTATTTCGTTCAACTCAATTTGTTTCAACTCAATTTGAACATCATTAAAAGAATGGGGGAATATTACATAGTTATTGGGGGATATCGTACGGTCAGGATGAGACGAGAGCCGTGATTTATTTTTTAATGTTATTGTGAGTTGTGTCGCGGTTTAGTAGCAAATGCGTCACTAGATAATTGTCAATGAATTTTTACCACTTTTATCATCGCGCTCTTTTATGCGCTCGTTGAGAGACTGACCGTCAACTCTTTATAACTGTACTACAAACGTGTTGGATGAGTACGTGAATCATTTCCCATTCTATCATTTCACATTTTGTTTATTCATTTAGTGTATTTGGCACATATGTATTAACCAAATTATATACAATTTGTTTAACAATTATCCAACATATTTTTAATTGTAATAAAAAAAATATTTATTATACGCAGACAGTAATTAATTGACGTAATTTTATATTCTTATATAAAATGTAAAAAAATAAAATATAAATTATAATCAATTTGCAAAAGGATCAAAATAATAAAAATGTTATTTAAAAATATAATAAACCAGAGGAGATATATTTAATACTTAAAAAATCGATTCTATTTTACTAAAATACCATTCAAGTTGTTTCAAAATATCTTGGAGAAATTATTAAACTATAATCAAAATTAATTTTTAATATTATACTTATATAGTATATTTATTTAAAATATTTCATTAGTGAAATATTTTATGCCTCATGCGTCCGGAAGTTTCCTAAACAATATAATTTGATATTTGTGTATTATTTGATTTCCACAGTATAATTTTTAGTAATGTTAAATATAAATAATGTATTTTAATACTAGGAAACTTCTGATTACACTATTGTACAAAATAATTTAAATAATTTAGTTATTATTAAATGATACTTGGTCTACAAATTGTTGCTAGCTTAATTATACTTAAAAAAGCACTACAGTATAACCTCGCATAATGCGAGTAATCGGTTCCGCACTAATTAGGGATTTGAGGATTGAGGTTTGTTTTGAAATTTTCTAACTTCTAAAAATCTGGATTTATCGAAGCCGCACTATCCGACGTGTTTCTGTATTTGGTATTTAACAGTTGTTAAAAATTTGTTGTACACATATGACAACTGCAACGAATTGTGAAGCAGATTGCATAATGTAGTGCAGAATGATGAGAGTTTACAATAATAATGCAATACATATAAATAAAAGTAAATAGTTATCAATGGAATGTTTAAGACTGCAACAATGAATCATATTTCACTAACTATATATCTTAATTAATTTCCAACATCATTGCAAATGTTGACTCACAAAGTCATGTTAATGTAAATAACAGCTGTACTTAAATTAAAGGTCCAGCAACCCGTTTAAATGAGTTTATTATTAGCCAAAATCAAAAAATATATTTTAAAACATTTATGATCCTGTTGTTTTAGTTCATTATAATTCAGATACTATTAAGTATAATATTAAATACAGTGGAACCTCGCTTAACTAGCTCCTCGCATAACGAGCATTTCGCTTAACGAGCAAAATGAATTGTAAGAAAAATGACTTCGTATAACGATGAGGAGAGAAGTCCTGGATTGCTACATCATTTTTAAAACTTGTATACACATATTATGTGTATTTTTTAATATGTTTCACTATACGAGTAAAAATCCGGAAGTTTTGGAACAGATTAAACTTGTTAAGCGCAGTTCCACTTTATATTATTCCGCAGATTATATTACGTGAAGAGTTAAAATTTCATGGTATTATTTTAACAAATGATCTGACTTAAAAAATAATTATTTAGATCACAAAAAACATAGTTTGGAGAGTATAAATTAAAACACAGATATTTGAAAATAATTGTATATTTGAAACAAACAGGTAGTACAAACAGGAAATGATTTTGCTTGATTTCATGGTCTATTCACCGATGTTTTTTGTCCAGATGTAAATTGTGGAATTCATTAACGTGAATTGTTATTAACATGAATCAGATTTTGCATTGAAAATGATTTTCACGAAATTAGCAATGCAAAAGTTAATTATATAATTGAATCACTTTTGACATTGGATAGCAAAAAAAAAACACAAGATTCATCTGGAGTTTGTATAGTAATTATTAAATTCAATTTTAATTTGGATTATCTTATATTTTCCATTTTACTAAATTACTAGATTTAATTTACAGTAACTGTCTTGAACTCAAGGTTTGTTATATAAATATAATTATAAAAAAAGTATTTTTGTATGAAATGATTTTTTTGATGTACTATGATTTCATGCAATATTTATAAAATATTATATAAGTCTTATGTGTCTCGATAATTGTGGTCATATAATAATAGTTTTTTTGTTACAGATAGTAGATTATAATTCGATATAGATACAATTTTTCGTGGGTTTTAATATACTTCAGTAAATTGTAATTGGCTATATAATTTGTCACTACACTTCTCACTTCTTAATTGTTCCATTATTTATGTAAGTTATAATGTAAAACTCCTAACAAATACATAGTATGTACATATTATGTTCTAAATAAATAAATAAATATTATAAAATACCTTAAAAAGAAAATGCAGAGTTCTTCCTTTGTTTTTTTATATATATATATATATATATATATATTTATTCTACATTTTAAAATACTGATTAAGAAAGCAGGTACTCAGTCTCCTCATACATTCGTTATACATATCATTTACTCTCAAGTTATGTGAATTATTTTTTTCTTGTCTTTCTATTACTATATCTACACATTAATACATTGTTATCCTTTACTTGTTTGTGCTTACACAAACTAAACACGTTGGTTTCCTCTACACAAATACTTATAATCGTATACATCAGTATTTCGTTTTTGTTAATGAGATTAAGTGCACATATTTCTTTGGGACATTGACCACCAACCCCAAGAGTACGGTAATTGTTGATTTCTCTTCGTGCACTTCGTGAATACAAATAAAAAATATATATTAAACTGGTAATAAATGCTTAGGTAACCTACTGACTATATACAAGATGAGGTAGAAATTAAATCAGTCCTATTGTTAACTTAAACAAACAAAATATAAATAACTTTAAAAAAAGAATCTTTGGATTTAAACAAGAGGCGCGTTTTGGTTTCCCAACCAAAAGTCTTTTCTTAGCGTTGTATATAAAGTTATAGAAAAATATAAAATAAAAGAATATAAACAAATATAAACAAATAACTCTACAAAAAATAATAATAAATATCGATATTTACAAAAATATATAAAAATTAGGACATTCTATAAAATAATTGCGCAATAAATTATGTTGTTACTGAGATTAATTAACTTATATCACTGGGAATCACTTTTGAAGGAATTCTCTTATGTTATTCTTTTTTTAATTTTCGCTTACGTTTTGATATCGTTTCGTATCGTTTGTTAATTCGTTTGCTGCGTTAAGAGATTCAATAGTTCCCCTTGGTCCATATTATTCAGTGTAGTCATGTCTATACCAAGAGCATTTGCCACGCTCTCCATATCCAATCCGAAAGATTTTAGGAGTTCTATAATGTCCATTTCATCACCAGTGAAAGGATTGTGGAGTTTCGGACACGAGTGGTTACAATGAGGCCACGAACATCTCTCTAATCTCCTGTGACTACAATCCTGATGGGATCGTTTCTGCGTTCGTAATACGGACCTCTGAGATCTCGGATGTTCGGTGGGTTTTATGGAATTTGATTGGTGCTTCATCCTGTTGCTTCGATTTCTGTGTTCTCCGTGATGTAATCTATGCCCTAAACAAAAAATAGAATATTAAATATATTAAAATTTTAAAAATTAAAATATTAAATATATCAATAAGTAATCAAGGTGAAATTTACCTTTACGTTTCCGATTCTTGTTTTTCTTGGGATTGTTTGTATTCTGTTGGTTCTTCCTGCTCTTTCTTCGCTTCTTCCTGTTTAAACCTTTCTCTCCGTTATCGTTAGTGGAATTCTTTTCTTCAAGAGTGGAATGATCCGTTTTAAGAAGTCGTCTTATTTGTTGATTAACTATTGATGGTTGATCAGTGAGTAACAATGAATTCCTCAACTTTCTACCTGCGTACTTGATAGGTTGTTGTTCCCAACAGTGAAGAGCTTCGGCGATTGAAACTTCATCGATCTTAACATTCTGCCAATCTCTCTTGGTTAGGATCGAGTGAGATATGCATGATGGTGCAAAGACTGCGGTTACATTTTCGAAGCTTTGCCGTAAAGCGTCTCCCATTTTATGAATGTAATCCCATTGTTGCTTAGTAACTGGAGCTCCGACGTTATCAGCATACATTTGAGCCTCGTCGAATAACCATTGGAAAACAAATAAAGGAGACTTCAATGTCGGGTAGAGCCTGTAACCGAAGTAGCAACGCCACGGCTCGCTTTGGTACAACTGTCGACAGCGTCTCGGAACCTTTCCTTGCCACATTTGCATTCCTTTACGGATGGCTTCTACAGCAGGCTTCCCGGTCGGCGCATACGGAGCTCTATCCAAAAACCACCCTGAATCGGTTACACCTCGAACGGAAATATGCTTCAAATCCAACATGTCATGCAGCAATTCCTGCACAGGATCCAAATTGATCATAACTCCCGTTCCTCCGGCGCTGCTTCCAGCCAGAAGTAAATCCGTGCTATTTTCTAATCCCAAAAGCACTAAATCGCGAACGACTTGTTGCACAACGGAAGCTCCCATGAAATTAAACATGCCATCGCGTGTTGCTTTAGATCCGCTCCAGGAATCGCTGGTGCAATAGGGTATAAAAACGTGATTCGCGTTCCACCAGTAGGGATTCTCGTCTTCGTTCGGTGATAAAATTCCTCCAACTAGAAAGATGTAAAAAGTTAATATTTGTGTTTATTTATTATCAATTTTTATTTGCGAATTCTCACCGTCTCTAGTTTCAGGCCATTGAGCGGACGTCATGTAATGTCTTTGTCGTAGCCACCTATTTTGACAACTCTGATGATCGTAGCAATACCATCCTCCTTCTAAAAAAATAATCCATCTTTTGCTCGTGTGTGATTTGCGCAAATAGAAGCTGAAAAAGTAATTAGTAAATTAGTTATGTTCGAAATTTATGTGTAAAAGTAGCAGATCAACTTACCCAGCTTGCGATCCATCGTTGCAAGTGACGCTCCTATTGGAGAGAAATACTTTTTTCAGTGATCTTGCTTCGTCGGTTGACTTTGCTTCAACGGCTGGTATAAATCGGTGTATTGTATTGGTGTGTATTGGAGTTTCCAAAGGATTTTCTCCGCTGGGAAAAGCAGTCGTGATTCCGAGTAGAAAACACAGAGATATCTGAAACAATTAGAGCTGTAAATGGAATGCGCTTCTTTCCGCTCGGTTCTTTTACATTCGTAACGGAATGTCAAAATGGTGAATTCTTCACGCTACCAGTTATCTTTATATAAGAAATAAATAGTTCTATGGGTTATTTTATTGTTCGTCTATAAAGTTAGTAAAAGTGACAAGCATTTATCTGCTCTCCTCTTTTTTTCTTCGCTTAGGTGTAATTACAAAAAAGCGTGTGCATCATATTCCAGCAGAATAAGGCACCATTATAAGTTCAGGCCTGGTGTGTCCATAAAACCGTTTTTAATAAGCGTGCACTTGACTTATAATAAAATTTTGCAACCGAATTACACGAAGCTTATACCTGATCGAACACCTGCACGGACGCCCTTTCCAAGGAAGGTACCCCGGATCTTGGTGAGTTTATTTATAACCAATATATCTCCTTTTGAGTGGCGGCATCTTTGATGCTCCCTTCGTGAAATTTATTGAGAATTAAGGTTTGCGTAATGAAATATGTGATTTCTGTTTCGTAAAATCGTCTCGGGTTCAATGTTGTTTACACGTTGAGCAGAGCTAATAGCAAGGAAACGCACAATTATTTCTAATTGTGAACGTTAAGTGGCGGCGATCGGCGGCGATGGCGGCCTGGGTAAAAGAGTATCGCGGTTCACTGTCCTCAATGATAGTTTATGTCTCTTAGAAGCGTGGCTGATAAACAAATGCCGTCCGTCAAAGGGACGAACACCAAAGACCCAGTGGCGGAAAGCCCTTATCGCAACATAATTTTGAGGCCCCTTATTCTTAAGACAAAATAAAGCTATTAGCGATTGCGGTTTTCTTTGTATATAGGTAAAATTAACATCCGGTTTTTACAGTTTGAAAAATCGCACGGATTTTATTTCATAAATTAAAAAATAAATCTCTTTAAGTCTTATACAATGGTTTTAGAGAAATTAAATATTTATTATTAGTATTTTTCATTTTCTTTAAAAGATATTTTCCTTTGACTCCAAATTACCCCTTGGTTATTAATTGTAGGACAAATTAATTTGAGTCAGGATAAAAGTTATTTGGTCTACATAAGTTACGACGGAAGTAGATTATACAAACAATGGAGTAAACAATTCTTTTTTCTTTCAAAGAGACTATCTTCATATTCGACAACCCCAGATTGTTGTTGTCGTTACTGTTGTTTTTATTTTTATCTGCAGTCATTGTTGATTGTTTGCTTTGTTTTTAAAATGCTTTCGAATGTATTTAGATGCGTTTTATTATCCATCCATCGACCGTTTTCCAGAGGTACAGAGGATGACCGCGAGCGAAAATGAAATGAGTAATTTAATTTAAAACAGTGTAGGTGCGCGGCGGCATCTTCAAAGGCTCGGTAAGCCTCTTATTATCTGCTACTGTCGGCAGGAGGGAATCCCCCGCGACCGCGCATCCCCCTGAGAACATGCTCCACCTATGACAGACGTATACAACCTTATACAGGATGTTCGTATTTTCTTTATATATATATATATATATACATATATAACCACATCACAATCAAAATCGCTGCAACAATTCCCTTGTTTATTTATTACATCAAAAATTATTACCTATACTAAATTTACATTAACTCATTTATTTATTACTATCATAAATATGTAATATATATTAGTTTTTTCAAATTAAACTTTATGTCTCATGTCTATGAATTATTATAAATGTAATATTACTAAATCAATTACATTTATTAACATTCAATAATATTTGTAAAATAAATAAAATAATTAAATTTAAAAAAATTAAGTTTTCAAATTTAAATCTTATTTTATTCATTATAAGATAATTATAAGGCCATGTTGATTGTATTGAATTGAAAGAAAATGTACTAGATAGGATAGTATGAAATGTTACTAAATACGATTATAATTGGTTGATAATTAAATAAATCATTAGGAAGTAAGTGAGCCGATGTCATTGGTCGTAATAAATCACGTTGTCAACAGTTGGGGCAGGTCACGGATAGTAAATCATATCCTTTTCTTCCTCATGGGCTCCATACATCATCCAACAAGGGACAAATTACTTTCCTTTTGGAATTGTACCGAATTTTCGAATTCGAGCGAGTAATTTGACTACGAGTGAAAGAGAAAGAAGAGGGAGTGAGGAGTAGCGTTTGTGGTCGGGAAGGAGGAGGAGCGCACCCGATACCAGCTACCGTCGGCAACATCAAAGGACACTCCACCCACTTCCCACACGTTTTTATTAATTCCGTTCGCAAATAATGAAACGAATTTTCGTGCCTTAATAAAAAAAAAATCAATGCTCAAAAAAAAATACGCACACCGAGACAGCATACAACGTGCTCTCCCAATTTATGAGGCTCAAAGGGAGTAATGTCGCGTTAAGGTTCCATACAAATTCAATAGGCTCTCCACACAGTCGGGATCCGATGCATGACTTTCTATCTTAATCCCCACAAAGAGCCGAGCCGACGCCGAGATGGGTTGGATATTGGCAAAGGAGCATTCTACTATCCTTTTCCAAACCCTCCTAAAGACTCGCACTTAAACCTTAACGAAAGAAAGAGAAAAAGCAAGACGAGTGTGCCAGCTTTCGATTGATCAATTTATGATTAAGGTCCCGTCAATTGCTTTGTGGTTTATTCGAGGTTCGCTTTCCGTTAGTTCCTCAGCCGCAGAGCGGTTCTTATTCTCCTTTTACCAAAACAATAATAACAAAAAACAAAATGGAAAACAAAACAGAGTCTTGACTTCAAACCTGGAACCCCAATGTACCGACCGCTATTCACTCACATAAACAATGCAGTAAGCCCTTAATTTCCATCTACGGCACTGCGAATTCATTTCACACTGGGCCAAAGGACTCTTCCTCCGGTGATGTTCTTCCTTTTTTAAAGGTGCATATCGATTCGAAAACGAACGCGTAGTTAATACATCCTCGGCGAAGCGAGCGGTTGGAGAGGAGCCGAAGAAGAGGAGGAGAAGAGCAAAAGAAAGAAAAAAAATGAGCGAGGAGATTAGAGAGATGAAAGGAGCCGCCGGCTTTATTCCAGTCCCGAAGTTTTATCTAGAGATTCCGAATGTTTAGGAACTAAATTTAAATACACGCTATTTATTAAAGACCCAGCCAACAACATCAAAGCCAAAAAGGTAGAAAGAGAGATAAATAATTTTAAAACAAAATTCAATCGCAAGAAACTGCATTTGTTTGCTAATGCTAAGACCCATCACTCCCTTCACTCGCATGCAAATGAATGCTTTCGTTAACCATAAATACTTAATTACAGCTTCTTTTATTTTACACTCGCACACACGAGTATTTTTGGTTTCGTTTTGCACGTGGAGCCATAACCTTTGCACCGAATGATCGAGCGCAACATGAAAATTATGGAGGCCCTTTCCCTCCGCTTGCCTTTTTTTTGTTAAAGAGCGTTCATTAAAAATTCATTACGGCTTATGTTAATTTTCGAAACAAGAAAACACCTGTTCTTTTCATCTTATGAGAACATCTTTTTTATACCAGCTCTTCGACCATAACCATAACAAGAAAAAACAACATCCATCCGCAATATTGCATACAATATTATTCTCCTTCATCATTATTCACTTACGCGTTTTCAACATACAATGTTACGTTGAAAGTAACGACGTAAGATGAAAATAAAGAACAATCTTTAATCTTTGAGACTGATTTCGGAATGCTGCTTTGCTTTCCGTAAGTTATTCTCCTTTCCCTTTACTTCATTTGATTATTTTGACAAGGGACAACTGACTAGAAGTTACCGACTTACTGTACTTTAACGAGATTTCGGTTAGTTTAAGTAAAGCTGATTAAGATAAAAGAGATATGCTCAAAGCCGAGGGGCTTGGCATCTCTTATGAAACAGGTAATGACAACTATACAAAATCGTATAATTGGATTACCACTTCTATAAGTCATTTATGAAACGAGAGAAAAGGATAATAAAAAAATGTATTTCGAAATTGTAATCTTGGTATTGTTTTGGTTTTGGTAAATTTCAAATATTTTAAAACTAATGATTTTGAATATATTATTAATTTAACATTAATATAGTATTACCGACGTTAATAGGGACAACTTTCTGATATAAAATAATTTAAAGGTATGTTTCAATATATCGATTTACTTATTTTCTTTAGAAAAAAATGTCATACAGATTACATTCTAAGAATAATAAAAATGAATGTCCTTGATTAGAAAAAAAACTAAAGAATTTAATATATTTGTAATATAAAAGAATTGTCCCTTTGTCCAAGGCTAATAATTAATAATTTACAATTTAGTTTAAAAACATAAAAATTGAAATAGAATAATTATTATATTATGGATCATACATATTAGTTTGCATCAAAAATAATATTAGCAATTTCTTAAGCAAGACTTTTGGTAAAATAGACATTATAGACATATAAAACTTTGATTGACATAAGGGTAAAAGATTGTGAGTTGTATGAACTTCATTCAAAATATTTAATATTTTCAAGAAAAATATAGAAATTTTACTATTTTTTTTTTGTAAAGATATAGTGAAAGAATCCAATATCAATCCAATTAATACTTTTGTTTGATTAAATGTTTATCTTCAATTGGTTTATTCAATTTTCTGTAATTTTACCATTAACTTTTTAATAATTAATGAAAATGGGTGGACATTAAATTCAGTTGCATGACATTTCTTGTCGTGATATTTGATATAGTCTATGTTTACAGGCGAGCACATAACAGCGAGTGTGCTTATTGGAATGACGGTTAACAGAAAGCTAGTGATCCGAGTAGGTGTTTCGGAAGATTTTTCTTTCTTTTTGGCCACGAGGCGGCATGCGTGTTTGTATATATGTATGTGTGTATATTGGCGGTGAAGGATTATAATAAATTTAATCATTTTATGGCCGCTTGTGTGTGTGTTATCTTCGGATGTTTTTAGTGCGGTCTCGTATTTATACGTTGTATACGGCGAAGGAGGTCCATGGCGGGTTCGTCGCCGGCTTTTAAGTCACACACACACAAACACCAACAAACACATATATACACACACACTAGTGCACAAGGATCCCGCGCCCGGAGAAAGAAAGATTTTTAATCATGCATGAGAGATAGAAACTCCAGAGAGACTGGAAAGAGAAGGACTGTGCATGTGTGTATACGTATAGAATGTGTGTAGTAGTAGTAGTGTGCTATTGTAGCGCGCCGTTTGATCTGGCAATTAACGCGACACGTCTCGCCAGCTCTCATTACTCCGTTCACAAAGTAACCCGCCAGCTAAAGAACTCTCTGGCCCTCTTTTACATTGCTATGTACCACTTATGTACTTCCGCCACAACAAATACATGAACGTTTATATATATATATATATTATATATAATATAATACATAAATATGTGTATGTGTGTGTGAGTGTATATATATATAAATTTGTGCGCGCTCTTTGATAAGGCCGACACAGAAGAACTACCGCCAAAGATACACTCTCTCTCACTATACATATTTGTCTCTCGACAGACTTGAAAGCGCCGTTTAGAATACCTTTTGCGCAAACTTTAATCACCTCTCTCTTGGTCTCTCGAGCAACAACAATTTTCTCCTCCTGTCGGCAGCAGAGTAATCATACCGCATCGATGCCGAAAGTGCAAGCCCCCCTCAAATCACAAATTAGTTGCATCGCAAGAGCGCGGAATTATTAATACGGACGCGGCGTAACAAGATCAAGGATGTAATACCAACAATTGCAAAATTTACCTGAGTTATTGTCTTCATAGTGCGGTATGTATGAACGAAAAGCACACGCGCGCACTTTATCCAAAGCTTCAAAGGAGGGACTCAACAAAAAAATATTAGACGACCACGATGATGATGAAGAAACTAAGTGTAGCCCAACCAGGTATATACGTAGGTAGTGTGTGTCTGTGTATAGATATATATATATATACACACAAGGTATTAAGCACTCTGGTCACTACACTAACACGCTACCACTAGTACGAGTACTCTGATGGAATAGCGCGCCATATCTGAACTATATAGTCGCCCCTCCACTGGGGGTGTTAGTGTTAGTGCAACCCCGTGCTTTACAATCTACCTGTCATCGTTACATAATACAATCCAGGCGATCCTTTTCCACTCTCCCTCTCTCTCTTACTCTCGCACGGACTCCGTCACCCACCATTCCATTCCGTCTCATCCGATCCTCCACTCTCTTCCTCCTCGTGCATGCCCGGAGAACATCAAAACGCAAACCAATACGCATTATCCTATCCTTCGAGCCGCATTCAAACCGGGATCAAATGAAATCATAATAAAAGGGACATGCCATTTCCATTGCATTAGTAAAAACCACCGTCGACGGTTTTTCTCCTCCTCCTACTCCTGCTTTTCGCTTTTGCTATCATTATTATTTCATTTTATTGTGGTTTCAGGGGCTACAGATGTACTGGCGTTTCATTTTTTCCCTCATAAAATTAAAAAATAACAACGCCGCATTCATTGAGCGTTTTCCCCTCTGCACCGTATTTTTCCCGATTTTTATTGTTGTTGTTTGTTTTTTCAGTTTGTGTCTGTGCAAACAAAGCTTCCACGAGATATCCGCATGACGGCACAAAAATGTCCATTATTTTAATAAAACAATGAATCCACCCCCATCTCTCCTTTACCTCTATATATAAACAATGAACGGTTTCAATAGAATTTTTTGTCGCATTTTCACAAAAACAATGTGATAGACATTTGGTAAAAATTTACTACTTAAAAAAGAATAAATATTTTAAAAGTATTAGTATTTAGTGTTGATATATGTTCACTCTAATCTTATACATTGGTAAACATTCACTAAATGGTTGGCAAAATTCAATTTGTAAATAATTTATTATTGTAATATAATTTCTATCAGTATAAACAAATTAATTTAAAAAGTATATTTATATAATTATGAATCAATCCATTATATCTTATCTAAATAAGGGAATTGCTTCGACAGAAATTTTGTTTCTTTTTATATGACGACATAAATATTATTATTATTAAATTTTAAATCTTTCCTTAGGCTCAAATTATTTCAGTCAAATAATTATGTTTTGTCATGCTTTACTTCTATTTATATGAAATATAAATATCGTAAATGTATAAATATAAAATAAAAGTATGATAATGATATAAATGGCAGCCATAGAAATACAAATATTAGACATATTAGTTTATTAATTACAAGGAATGTAGAATATGTCATCTTTGCTCATTTATATTATTATGGATAGTTATAATACTATATAATTATGATATTCTCGTGATTTATTTCCAAGAACTTTCATATTTTATTGAAGTAAGGAAATAATATTTATATTATTATTAATAATAAAACAATAAGTTCACTGCTATTAACCATAGGTTATTGTGTCTCTATTATTATTAATTTAAAATACAATAATATAAAATTTAGGAGGAAAAACTGTTGTCAATATCCCATTGTATACACTAAATTATGTATATCTTATTTATCATATAAATATAGTTAAATTTGACACAAATTAAATCATTTATATTTGTGTAATTTTAATGTACATAGATATAACAGATATCTTTGTTGCAGTTTTTTTTTGTTTTATTATTATTAAGTTATAAGACTTACGTTACAGAATCTTGAAAATGTTTTGATTTCTTGATTTGATTATTTGTCCTTCCTTTCTCTATTTAATTTAATTTAACTTATTTATTAGACAATATGATCAATATGCTGTTGATTGAGTTTTTTTCCGCCCCTTTTTCTATTTTTTGTAAATATACATCGAAATTTTCAATTCTGTTTTCGTATCGTATAGAACATAATAAAACGACAAATTAACTTAGAAAACTTGTTACTGTAAGTTGTTCAATACATATAAACATGTATTGATTTATTACTTACATTTTATAAATAGTAAGTTTTTAAATGATTTTTTTTTGTTTTCTCCTGTTACCTATTAATATTAAGATTATAAAAACCAAAGTCTAACGTATACAATTTTAGAACCAATGAAAGCTTTTTCAGGTCACAGGTCTTCTCCACTGTAAGTAGTTATAACAGTATATTTAATTAGCGTCTTGCGAACCATGTAAAGGAAAATTGCTTTCCAGATGCAAATACATGTTTTTCTTCTAATATACAAAAATTATGTTAGTATGAAAAAATAAACTGAACATCACGTTTCTTATTTTTGCTTAGTGTAATATATGAAATTTAATACTTGGTTTTACAGTTTGATAGAAAGTTAATAGTTAAATTACATTTATTAAAAGAATTATAAACATATATTAAATTTTGTTTTGTTTCGTGTTCATAATATGTATTATTTTTATTTTCGTAGCAAAAATATTATTACTATTTGTTTAATCAATTTTGTTATTATACTAGAACAATAATAAATTTCATTCATAATAATGATAATAAGAATTAAATTTTTAACACATTTTATAGTTTTATACACAATTTCAAGTTTTAACTAAAGCAATAGTAAACATCTTATATATACATAAAATCTTAATTAATTTAAAAAGTATATTTATATAATTATGAATCAATCCATTATATCTTATCTAAATAAGGGAATTGCTTCGACAGAAATTTTGTTTCTTTTATAGACGACATAAATATTATTAAATTTTAAATCTTTCCTTAGGCTCAAATTATAAACATATATTAAATTTTGTTTTGTTTCGTGTTCATAATATGTATTATTTTTATTTTCGTAGCAAAAATATTATTACTATTTGTTTAATCAATTTTGTTATTATACTAGAACAATAATAAATTTCATTCATAATAATGATAATAAGAATTAAATTTTTAACACATTTTATAGTTTTATACACAATTTCAAGTTTTAACTAAAGCAATAGTAAACATCTTATATATACATAAAATCTTAATTAATTTAAAAAGTATATTTATATAATTATGAATCAATCCATTATATCTTATCTAAATAAGGGAATTGCTTCGACAGAAATTTTGTTTCTTTTATAGACGACATAAATATTATTAAATTTTAAATCTTTCCTTAGGCTCAAATTATAAACATATACTATATTAAATTTTGTTTTGTTTCGTGTTCATAATATGTATTATTTTTATTTTCGTAGCAAAAATATTATTACTATTTGTTTAATCAATTTTGTTATTATACTAGAACAATAATAAATTTCATTCATAATAATGATAATAAGAATTAAATTTTTAACACATTTTATAGTTTTATACACAATTTCAAGTTTTAACTAAAGCAATAGTAAACATCTTATATATACATAAAATATTCTAATATATTAAATCAATTAAAAATGAAATGCATTTAAGTGTAGTTGAAAATAAGCAAGTTGAAATTGAACAAAAATTTAATTATAATATATTCAGAATTCAGTTAATTAGCTCAATAAAGTAGCAAACTTAATGGGAAGAATAAAACGGTTAGATTTATGTATGGTGTATCCTTAAAGGAAAAACAAAATTCTAAATAAATAATCTTTATTAGAGTTATTAAAACTGGCGGCACGCTTCCACCGGGGACGATACGAATGCCCCGGTCCGTATATATATATATATATATATATGTTGATTTTAAATAATGCCATAAAATGGTTAAGAAGAATGAAATTACAAGTTACACCGTCAGGATTAATATATTATTTGTGTAAGTGCGAGCAATTTAAGGAATTAAATTACTGCAATTTTTATTGCACGCAGTATACATTACAAATTACTTCATAAACTTCTGCCTTCCATTATATGTCAGAGCTAAGTTTACATCTCCGTCTATCTTTTTGATGCTCATACCTTTCGTGTTTTTTTTGTCACTTTTTTTTTTAATAACGCTCTTTTGTTGTTGTTTTCTTAACTATTATTTTCGAAATTATAAATTTTACCATGTGACTTTTGACGTATTTATTATGCCGCTTTTATTATTCTATTGATTGCTGTATAAATTATCTATCGGTAATGTAACTTTCTTCAGAGTTATTACTAATAAATCAAAAATATACATAAAACCTAAAGGTAATTTCGAAGTAATGAAAATGCCGTATAGGAAATAAGTAATTTCGTTAGATATTTTATACATTTATTGCTAATTGTATTAAACTAACCTGTTTCATGATTACCACGTAATTTTGCATTAACATATTACATAATATTTTACTTTTTAAAGAAATAAATAAATGTACTAAAATATTTTTAAGAATTATTATTTTGTACATTTTCTAAATATGTTTTTTAGTTTTCTTATTTTCATATTAAATTTTAAATTTTATAAACTGAAAATACACAATTATTATAAAGAATAACTGTTGAATTAATACCAATTCGTATTGATACATATAACTATAACTCAATTACCTTGGGTAGTAAAATGTCAATGACGATTTTCTAAATAAATGTAAAAAAATAAATAAAAATCTGTTTATTCTCTAAACATACCAATCAATAATTATTTATTTTTAACTTGAACGTTAGTAACAATTATAAAATACTGCACAACGTGAAAATGATGCATATACATAAATTATAGAAAACGGCATAATTGATTTAATAACTGTGTTTCTAATGATACTCGTTTATTAAACTAGGTCAATATTTAATTAGATTTCTAGTCTTTAACTATATCTGTAAAGCCGGAATTACTGTGGACTGGAAATTCCCTTGAATGGACACTTAATGTCTTTCGGGGCATGAGCTTAAGTTCTGATATATTTTAGTTTTGTATGAACTTTGATTATTTTTTTATATTGTAATTTTAAGGATGATAAAATAATTAATACTTATAAATATATAGTAGAATCTGAAATCAAAACAGAAGAACATTTTATTCAAAAGACATACAAATAAATCATAACTAAATGGTAAATAATAACGACTATAATAGCGAATATTCTGTTAATACACATATGATTTTACTACATATGTAAAATAACCATTGGACATAATTTTTCAGCAAGATTATAACAAATTTATCCAATAAATCCAGTTTAT